AACCTGAACTATATTATATCCTAGGGAAACCTTTTCTGAAGCTAAGAACTTATATCTGTAAAAATCTTGACAGTCTCAAGGTACCTGGGAGGGAAAAAAATTATTTTAACATGAGCTGGAGAGGGGCAAAAGAGGGAAAGAGTACAAACACACATGGGGTTGTGGGGGAAGAGGATTAGGGAAGTTGGGAAGAAATAATATTTACCAAGCAAAAACTATTTGCTAAATTCTATACTATAACACATACTATTTATTAAACATTTGTAAGTATATAGGATGGCATTGTTACATTTTAAAAATGAGGAAACTTGAGCTTAGAGAACTTCAGTACTTTACCTAAAGTCATACATAACAGATGTAGATTTAAACCAAATCCACTGACTCCATAGACCATGCACTCTCATGATTTCTGTTCAGATTATTAAGCCTAAACAGAACTGACTGTCTCTGCTCAGATGGCATCTATATTTATCTTAAGAATTTTTCCAAGAATTTTGTTAAAGTCACATAGATGGAAAGTATGCAATAATGTTATTGAGTTATTGAACACTAAGCCTTTCTCTGTAAAACAATGATAATCTAATTTAACTGTGAGGAAGCTTAATAGTGATATACTTTTGAACATGGGAACACTTAATTAGAAGACTCAGAAGAGGGGAAACTTAATCTAAGACTAGCCTAAAAAAAATAAAGTATTTTGGAAAAATACTGAACAACTGCTATGTTGTCTGTTCCAGATGAAAGTTTCCTGGACAAAGGATATATACTGGTTTAGTGTGACTCACCCTATTCTGAATTCTACAGTTCATGTGAATACCCCGCAACGTGATGAGGTCATGCTGGTTAACCAACATAACATACTTTCCAATTTACAGTATTAGAATAGACAGGCTGCTTTAAAAGCTTATTAAGTGGTCTCATTTTAAAAGCCACAAACCCTGAATAAAACTGAAGTGAAATTTTAAAAACTTACCGTAAACTCGGGTCTGAACTGCCTAAATTAAGTAATGCAATGTTGAGCAGAGTCCCAGGGACGTCTTTTGGCCGAATCTTGGTGTGCTGGGGGATGGAATCGGGCTGTGACAGCTCCCAGCGCGTCCGGATGTGAATGATAGACTGCACAATGGCGTCGCACTCCTGGTGCATGAAGGTGAGCGGTGTGCCCTGATTTGCAATGGTTAAGGTGAACTGGTTCTCATCCACTAGGCAAATTTCTTCAATTTCCGAAGCATAATAGATATCATTTAGAAAGACTGACTGCCCCAGGACTTTCGTTCGCTCTGCTGAGGTTACTTGAACAGCAGTAGAACCAACCTGGAAAGTGATGGTGAGAGGGTGGAATGAAGACTTAACTTCCATTATGTGGAACTGCAAGAGGCGCCAAAACCGACTGACCGGCTGACTGACCAGCCGACCGACCAACCAACTGCCCGACCAACCGAAATACTATGTTTGCCATTTAAGGAAGAGTTACCACCATTATATATTCAAATGGGTTCAATAATTACTGTGATTAATATTAATGCTCTCAAAAGAGACTGAAAACATCAGGAAAAAAAATTTTGTTTTTAAGAAAGGTCAAGAATCCTGTAAACAAATACTGATTTTATCCTGAAGGTTCATGTTCCTCATTCTGCAAAACCATGTAAAAATCAGAATGCTCACTAGATAATTTCCACCTTCCACACAGTCCTGCCATTTGACTTATATAGCACACTGCCCTCTCTACAACACTCTCCTGCTTCCAACCCAACCTAGAATATAATTAAGTGTACACTTCTCATATCAACAATAGGACCTCCATGAAGAGTGACACTTACTTTAATAGAAACCTTGGTGTCTTTGTGCGCTAGCCTGAGAGCATTGTGGAACACCTTCAGGTCTTCTTCTAAAGCCAGGGTGGCAGCAGGTAGTTTCTGTTGTTCATGCTCTATGTGCTCAGCCAGCTTCCCAGGACAGTCTATGAAAATGAGCCTTTTGCTGCCTTTGAGGCCAGTCAGCAGCCGCTCGTGATACTTGGTATACTCCCTGACCCAGGAGTTACAGTTATAGATATAAACTGCCGAGACATTGTCATAAGCAAAGCCAGGAAAAACAACAAACCACTTAGAGAGGAAGTCCGTTTTAAAGCGATTGCTAGGCCCAGTATGGGTAAGGTCCACTACAATTTCATATGGCTTTGCATAATATGGCTTTAAAGTCAGCAAGACATGGTATATCAGCAAATCACCGTTGATTTGACCAGTTTTGAACCTAAGGAAGATGACAAAAAAAGGGGACATAATTTGTTAATAGAGTTCTGAATAGATATATAGATGCTATAGATATCTATTTTATTACTTTATTTTCTAATTAGTTTTCTAGAGAAAACTAAGAATACTACACAACAATTATATAAAGTCTGGATCCTTTTTTAAAAATCAACTGTTCTTTAGATATTGAGAAGTAAGTTTAAAGTAAAACAGAAGAGATGAATCTTCAATTCGAAAACTTTGAGGAATGACAATAACAACAAACTTGTCCATCATAGTCAATCAAGGAGGATGGCAGTGGACATTGGCTAGCTAGCTGCCTCCAGGTTCACTAAACTTCCCAGGTGAACAGTATGGGTCGGAATGACCCACTGGGAGCTGAACGGCTTTAGTGAATTCATTTATCCTACCTTGACCAGAAACAGTGGTTCATTAATGATCATATGACTCAAATTAGGACAACCAGAGCCAAAGAGGCCCAATTCAGAGAATGTAGTTTAAACTGTTGGGAATTGAGACATTTTCTATCCTGACGTTTATAAACAAGGGAACAGAGAGCCATGGGAGTTGTTAGCTCTTATCTTGAAATATGAAGGAAAGCGTGCCTAAAAACTGAAGAAAACTAACAGAGAAATAGGGAAACTGGGACCCTGGCCATTTCATCTGAGTCCTAGATAAAGCCTCTCCTGGGATCGAATTTATCCCTGGAGTGTTCAGGTGAATGAGCCAACAAGTTCAATTTTTTGATTAAGCCAGCCATATTAGGTCATGTTATTTACATTAAAAATAATGCAAAGCAATGTGAGCAGCCAAGGTAAGGACCAACAGAAAGCCCTGAAAAACAAAGCACTAGAATTCCAATCAAGACAACCTATGTGAACTTTGGCCCAATGTTCTTCAGTTGATCACTCTGGTACTAGTATTACAACCTAGGCTGAGTCTTTAGTTTTTGGGGAGGAGATAAGATAAAAATGTGACAAGTTAAATGATTTTAAAACAAAAGAAAAATATTTCAAGATCAAAGACAAGATATGAGGTAGTATGTAATCACTTATCAAAGGAACTGCAGAGGAAAAATTCTGCTAAGTTCAGAAGAGGGAGATATCAACACAAACTGGGCAATCAGCAAAAGCTACTTAGAAGACACACTGGCTGAAGTAGATTGGAGGAATTTCAAACTCAACAAGAGGAGACTGGAAGGCCTCATGGAGAGAGGTAAAGAGGAAAAGAAACAGGTAATTAGGTGTGCTGAGGCAACAGTCAGTAAGCTGAGCTAGAATGGAGGATTTACACCGAGAAGTTTTAAGAGATAAAGCTGGAGAAATACACAACAGCGAAATTATGGAGGGGCCAAAACTGTTCAGCTAAGGGGCTCAGTATTATTCCAAGTAGGTTCTGTGTAGTACCAGCATGAGAATTGGCTGTGGTGCTTGATAAAACTGCAATCTCCTGGTCCCAGACCAGACCTACTAGTACATATAAATCTATACAGTGGGGCCCAGCAATTTTCATTGTTTTTAAATAATCTCATCTGATATTTATGTGCACAAACATTTCTGAATCATTGTTATAGGTGCTAAGGAATTGGTATTAAGGAGTTACTCAACTATTTTTTTTGAAAGGGGTGATATGATCAAAGGAATATATACAAGATATACGAAGGAATCATGACTAGGAAAAAAGGTATTGTAGTAGTCTAGGTATGGCCTCATAAGGATATAAAATATAGTCATGGACCACTTAAAGACATAGGGATATGTTCTGAGAAATGCATCATTAGGCAATTTAGTCTTTGTGCAAACATCAGAATGCACTATCACAAACCTAGATGGAAGAGCCTAATATTAATTGTATAAGCTATACTTTTATATGACGGGCAGTGCTCTAAGTTTGTTTACATTAGCATTACTACAAACATGTGAGTAATGTGTTGTACTATTATATTACCATGGATACTAGGCAACAGAAAATTATCAGTTCCATTATATAATCTTATGAGACCACCATCATATATGCAGTGTGTCATGTGAGACAAGACTGTCCTAAGCAACTGATCCAAGAATATAAAGAAAGGATCAACATTATCTTAGGTCTGATCAGGGCTGTAAGAAAGAACTTGAATTTTGAATTAAAAGGACTTGCTGTATACCAAACCTCTGAGATTACCAAAAATGTTGCTATCATGAACAAAAAGAAAGTGATCGTTAGGGGGCAGCCACTTTTGAGAGAAAAAGGAGATCCATTTCAGTACACTGAATGAGGTGATGAGAGGCCATTCAAGGGGTGGAAGAAGGGACAGGTGAGTGGGGAGAAAGAGAGAGAGAACACACTAAGCCACACCAAAGCATTTTATGCCCTATATCATCTACATTTACTATGTACTTTCTTAAATCACTGCAGTTCCACAATTTGAGATGTGGGTTTGTTTCTATTATTTGACCAATACCCCAGGTCTCCACACGCATGTTGTCAATCAGTCTGTGGCATCCAAATAAAATTTTTAGAGATGATTATAGTGCTGTAGGGAAAATTCCATTTCATCTTCTTTTGAATGATACTAATATATCATCCAAAAGCAGATACCACACATATATAATTAGTTTAAGGTCAAAAGACAGAAAGCGGAGAACCCTCCCTGCCCTGGAGGCGGGGATTTGTTCTACAGAGCCTCCAATCACGCCAGCAGCCAACTAGGCACATTGGAGATTCTGTTGTTTTTCCCCCCGCTCTGACATGTGCTTTAGTTGCAGCGAAAAGGAAATGTGTCATCTGTGGTTTGGTTTGAAAAGTGGAAAACTAGCTGCACATGTCTTTTTTTACTGCAGATTTACTTTAACGTTCAGGTTTCTCCAAGTCTGTTCTGCTTTAAATTACTTGGAAGCTGTGCCTCAAGACAAGAAAAGAAGTGGCTTATTAAATAAGGTTATAATCAGATTTTGATCAACGATTTTGTAAGGTAGGTAATATATATGGCTTTTCTTATGCCTTTTCACTTATAACTTTGTACAGGTTAGTGTTTGAGGAAGTGCTACAAATAGTACCTACGTATCTTACTAACAAAGTAGAATCATAAGTAATTGAAAATGTATGCTGTTTTTTCCTGTCCTATTAAGTAAAATTTAAGTTAGAAATGATAAAGATTTACCAGCAACAAAGAGTTTTAAACTAGGATCAGGAAGGATCTGAGTTTAAACTCTATAGCAAACTGAAAAGCTTGGTTATGAATAAAAAAGTTTAAAAAATAAGTTTCTTATTACTAATACTTAGGCATTATAAATTTTATTAAAAATGGCCAGAGATCAAAAGAAGAAAAACTTTTGACAACATAACCTGATCTCCATGGCATAAATCAGTGATGTAGAGACAATCCTCTATTCCCATTTTGTTAACAGTTTGTTTATTTGGGGATGACAGTACATCTGGCTGAAAACAATCAACAGCAGGCCTATTATCTACCCCGTGGTAAGCACTGTTGGAATGAGTATGAATACTGTGATGTATACAACACTGTTAATTAACTAATGTGACAAGAATAACCCACTTTAAATTATTTTAGCATCTATGCAGAAGGCCAGTCTAGTATAAAAGGGTAGAAATTACTAACTCAATTTAAACTATTTCTCGTTGTGAAAAAATCATAAAGTTGCCAAATATTTACATCATTCAACTTAAAAATTGAAGCTACCCACTATTATATAGAAGTCAGTGCATCCTACATTTCACTGTCTATTAAAGGCCATAATCCAAAAAGTAATCTTAATTCTAGAACACATAATAAAGGTTTTTTCCTCTCTACTATTAACAGGATATATTATTTCAGAGGTTAACTTCTACTTAACATCATTTGTTATATGCTACTCTTTATAAACTGTTTATTATAAAACCTTGAAACTTGTGAGAGCATGACTAGAAGTCGCATCTATATTGCTTGGGAGTGGGTGAGAAAAGATGAATATCAGGTCCTTCCTAGACCTACAGAATCAAAATCTGCATTTAAAAAAGGAGAATAATCTAGTTTTTTCTTCTAGCTCCCTCAAATAAATGCTAACAATAAAGCAGTCTTATAAAAGTAGCTCCAAAAAACTGAAATAGGATTATAGAAGAGATAGCTCAATAACGGTGACAGGTCTTTCTGGTTTACTAGTACCTGAACAGCTATGCCGGTTCTATTTAAATCTTCAGTCCTATGGTAGATAATGAGAATTAGGAACAGACTGTCCCCTTTTGTACTGGCTTCCAGGGAGCTCAGAGCCAACACTGAAATTCAACTTTTTCATTTGTATGTTGAGATACTTACCATCTGCCTTGACTTCCCACTTCAGTCTAAAACCTCATAATCCTGATGCTCTATTTCTATTGTATTGTTTTATTTATTATTCTTTTAATTTAATTTTTTCCATCACCATTTATTTCCTCATACCCTCTTCCACCTCCACCCAACCCCCCCACCCCTCAACCACCACACTGTTGTTCCTGTTCATGAGTTCTTTCTCTTTGTTTCTTTTCCTCCCCGCCCCCCGCTGTCAGCCTGCCCTCCACCTACCAGCCTGTCTCTATTTTGCTTGTAAATTTATTTTTAAAAAATTATGTCAAAATATTCACAGAGCCCTGGACAAGTGGCTCAGTTGGTTGGAGCATCGTCCCATACACCAAAAGCTTGTGGGTTTGATCCCCAGTCAGGGCACACACCTAGGTTGTGGGTTTGATTCCCGGTCAGGGTGCATATAGGCAGCAACCAACTGATGTTTCTCTCTCTCTCTCTCTTTCTCCCCCCACCCCATCCTCTCGACCTCTCTCTGTCTCCTTCTCCTTCCTCTCTCCAAAATCAACAAACATCCTTGGGTGAGGATTAAAAAATATATTCATAGAAAAAAAAAGCTAGGCATAAAAAAGCCTATAAAAAAAGCCAGTAACTTTTGTTGAACTTTTAAGATTATTTGAAAGAATTCTGCTTCTTTTTCTTTGTAATGCCAGATTTTTAGGTTGATAAAACTGGCATGCCTTTGGCCTTTGCTTTCAGAAAGTGAAAGTAAGTCAGGGGATATAAAGGTGAAGAGAACCAACATCATAAAACTGCTTTCACAAATAATGGGGATATTATTTCTAAGTATTAGCTTTATTCTAAGCTTCAAGATAAATGAAAAAGGGGGGAGAAAAAAGCCACCTTCAATTCCTATTTGAAGTTCATTTTCTTTTGGTAGCTACCACACTTCCCCTTTCCTGACTAGGAAAAAAAAAAGCTACTTCCACTTTATTTTCATAAATGAAACAAAGATTGATGACACATGTATTAGAGGTGGGGAGTTTCTGCAAAATAAGATCCTTAAATGGGCAGGGGAGGGAATCAAAAAAGCAAAAGCAGAAGTCTCTGACTCAAAACTGAAGTCTAGCATCCTTAAGAGGGAGAAAACTATATAAAACTATGGTATTCAGTCTACAATGATTAATAGTTATCAGTAATGCTAACTTCTAGCATTTAAAAGAATAACAGCATTGAGCTGTTTCTTGATATGTAGCTGAACAGAAAAAATTGGGCTGAGAAGGAATTAAGACAGGACTGTAAATGTTAGGCATGAGCTTCCAGCTTACTTATATAACACATCAGCTGCCCATCTTTTATCTACAATTACTATAACCTGAAACCACTGTTCTTTCACAAATTAACAAATTATATTTCTGTCCCAACAGATTACCAGTATACCCATGGACATGAAACTCATTCGACATTACATGCATCTTGCCTTTCTGATGACAACAGTTTTTTCTTTGTCTCCTGGAACAAAAGCAAACTATATCCATCTGTGGGCTAACAATACTACTGTCTGGGATCCAGATATTCAAAATAAGACAGGCAGAAACCAAAATCAAAACATTAACACAAACTCTACAACATCTAAAGTAGAGAAAAAAAGTAATTCTACAAATATGCCTGAAAGAGCAACATCATCTCATATCATATCTTTAACTCCTAAATCTGAACTGGAGTTGTATACAGCTTCTGTTACTAGGAACAGTTCCCCACCATTACAGAACATCAAAAACACAAGCAAAAGTCACAGTGAAATTTTCAAGAAAGATGTCTGTGAGGAAAACAACAACAAAATGGCTATGTTAGTTTGCTTAATTATAATTGCAGTGCTTTTCCTTATCTGTACCCTTCTATTTCTGTCAACGGTGGTTCTGGCAAATAAAGTCTCATCTCTCAGACGATCAAAACAAGTAAGCAAGCGTCAGCCTAGAAGCAATGGCGATTTTCTGGCAAGCAGTGGTCTGTGGTCTGCTGAATCAGACACTTGGAAAAGAGCAAAACAGCTCACTGGGCCCAACCTGATGATGCAATCTACTGGAGTGCTCATGGCAACAAGGGAAAAAAAAGATGAAGAAGGAACTGAAAAACTCACTAACTAACAGATGCTTTAGTAAAGAAAAAGGCAAAGTAACAATGAGGAACTTTATGGAGTAATACCAAAGTCAGTTTGATATTTAATGCCAACATGTTGGTCTGATGGTCTAAAATTTGACATCATAGACCTTGCAATTTTAGACTTAGGCAGGTGAAAATGGGAGAAGTATGCCTGCTTACTTAAGTTGTGCACTTTCATTCTGACACTGAATATTTTAAAAAGCAAATAATAAAACAACCAAAAATTTAGGCAAGTTTTTAAAGATATGTTGAAGGAACTAACAAAGGCAGAAAGGGACAATTAAATATTTTTTGTTCAACAACAGTAGTTAGATGATCTTTGTCTGAATATAAGTAAACTTTGAAGAGTTTTAGTGTGTCTTTAGAGACAAGTATATGCTTTAACATCTAACAAGTCAAATTTCTAATGCATAGAGTTGAACTGTATAGTTTAATGGTACCTTCTTTGCTGAATGTGACAAAATCTATACCAACTCTTATATCAACACAGCTAATGTCATGCTGGATGTTTTCATCTTTAGACACACATAAGAAAGTGTTTTTCTACTATAAATATTTAATTAAAACTTTTAATTTTGTATAATAAATTAAGACTTGTTAGAATAAAACTGACTATGCATATTTGCATTCATTTGCATTACCTGAGGGAACAGAGGCAAAGATCAATTAAGAAACAGAGCACAACTGAAACAGATGAGATTTATAGCCACAATGGAAGACTAAGTGCCAATGTTAAGCATGTCTTACTATTTAAGTGTAAGGTACCTCTATTCTATAAATATTGCTCTTTGGACTATTTATAGCGAATATCCAAAAGTTGATTAATTTCTGAACTTCAAGGATGCCGCATGGCCTAATATGTGACCAATTTCATTTTTTTTAATCATCAATGGGATATGAACAAAGGAAGGGGGTGTGTGTGGGGGTGTGTGTGTGTGTGTGTGTGTGTGTGTGTGTGTGTGTAAGAGAGAGAGAGAGAGAGTGTGTTTGTTCTAATTTGGAAAACAGGATACTTCAGGTAAATGTTTAACCTTTTAAAAAACTGGGTTCAAGTAAAATAATAACTTACATTTAAGTCAAGGCTTCTATCTTCAATTAAATACAGGGTCTGGCAGAAATAACACCTGCTTGAGTGTGGTTGGTAGGGTAATATTATGGCTGTAACAATACATAGTTTAATTTGAACATTTCACTTAAAATGTCATATGGCATGCTTGAGTGTGATGTTATTATGTTACAGAATTATATGCTTATGATTTTGAAATTGAAAAAAGGGGCATTATTTATGCTGTACCCTGTATATTACAAAAGTTAATTTGAGACACTTTCCAACTAGTTACTGTAATTGACACAGAACATCATAATTAAACACCAGGCCACATTTTAAAAATCACATTCCTTATTGAGCATTCATTTTGAACGATATGCTAGCCATTTAAGAAAATATTTCATATATTTTTTTCCAAGTATGACCACAATCTTCCTCTCCCTTCTAGGTTAGTGATTCTCATCCTGGCTGTATATCAGTTATCTGAAGCGTTTTTATTCCCACCCTCTCCCAATTCTATTAGAATGGAGTGAGCTCCAGGCGTTGGTAATTTTTGCATAACTCTCTAGGTGATACTGCTCTTCACCATCAAATTCACTTCTTATAAGTTCCATGGCTCCAAAGATCTAGGTTACATCTTAATATAAGAAAAAAGTAGAGCATCAATTTTATTACCAATTTAGTACCATTTGTCAAAAAATTCATTTCCTTAATAATAAATCATAACCATATTATTCCAGATAAATCTACATATCAACAAAGTAAAAAAGGAAAGCCAGAGAATGCTGATGTCAAGCATGGTAACAGAAAGGAAGGAGGCTCTCTTTTGAAGGGCAAAAGGGACCAGACTAGAAATGAAACTGGGCAGAGCCCATTTTGTACAAAGTAAAAATTTGATATTGTGTACTAGAATAAATAGTGACAATAGAAAGCACTTCTTGAATCAAGCATCATATATAAATACTTGGAAGAAATTAAAATAATCTAGTGTCTTTTTAAAAATAAGAAATGAACTAGGCGACTACTTCTTTTACATTCAACATACAGGTCAAATATTTTCTCACAACACAAGAAAGCTTCTACTGCAGGATTACTTAAAATTCATCACTCACTACCTTGGCTATTAAACTTGCACTCTCAGAATGACACCATCCAAAGATAGCTCATGAACAGAAACATAAGTAGTTCCTTTCCAAACCTGACAATGTTTAAAAATGATGGGTTAAGATATGTTTTGAGTTCAAATTTCACAAGTTATTTTTGAACAAGACACTTCTGTATTTTGCCTGTGGGTATTATGAGCCACACACTTAATTTAGGGATTTGAAATGTTTATAGTATTTTGACTATATTATGCTTCATAGTAGAACCCCTTAAAAAAAACACAAACTATTTCTTTTTGTACCAAGCTATGAGTCCCTTGTGGTTGGGAACTGGGTCTTAATAATCTGGGCTCCGTTGCAGTAACTAGGGGAAAGCAGAGCACTGTTTCATACTCACTGTTTGCTTCTACTTATAACATGAGCTCTGCTAGGCACTTTACATTCATTTAATCCCTAATAAATATATAAATTAGAAATTATGACCTCAATTTTTCAGATAAGGAAAGAGGCTAGAGGGGGACTTGGCCAAAGAAATTTTTATTCAGACTGACTCATACTCTTTTCAATATACTTTGCTAAGTTAAATTACTTAAAAAATAATTCCAAAACTTAATTTTTCTACTTAGAAGTACCTACTTTGTGGATAATCAAAGAGTTGTGGACTTGAACTTAAAAGTCATTTAGCAAAGTATTTGGTCAAAAAGAGTTAATTATATTTTTACCTGGGCTTTGCCTAAATTATGTTGGAGGAAATAACATTAATATTTATCGCTACCTACTGTGTGTGAGACATTTGAAGATATTATGTTATCTTATTTAATCCTCCCAACAACTCGGTTAAGAAAAATATTCCTCCAGAGGAGAAAATGGTGCTTCAAAAGTGCAGAAACTTGCCTAAGGTCATACGTAAACAGAATAAACACCTCATCCACTTCTTATGAAAGAGATCTCACTATGAGTAATAATCCTGAACAGGACAGTTTCTCAGAACATAAATTTCTCTCCAAGGCTCTATGCTAAATATTTAAATTAAATACCGTAATCGCATTACTAAAAAGCCTCATGTGTTTACTTACAAACATTAATTAAAAGCACTCAAATCATATAGTTCCAAATTGTGTTTCAAAATAAGTTCTGTTAAAATCATTTCTTAGTCATTTTGTGGCTTATTGCACTTCCGGAACCAACTATTGATAAACTTCCTCTTTTCAACAGAAACCATTTCAGTTTGCTAGAAGACCATTTTAAACCTAAGTGAACCACGCCTTTTGCTTTCTTAGCCAAATCACCAAAATGTCCACTTAGAACAAGAATTTAGCATCCAGCAAAAGAAGTTAACAACTGAGGTAAGAAAAATTTCACATAGGCAATCTGGCTTGATCTTTTGTTTTATTTAAAAATATATATTTAAAACTAAAATGACATTAGTGTTTTAAACTTAAACTCTTGTAGTCTAAAGATATCTGTAACAGATTTTGTGGTTTTTGTTGAATGGAATTAAAAAATACTCAGTGTTGAGCTTGCCTTGGAGCAAAAATTTCACCTAAGTTTGTATACAAAATTTCACCAGGGTTTGCTAACTTTAGTTCCATAACTAAAGCCATGGCAGATAAAGCTAAGGACTAGATATTAAACTAGAATCCATGAGATATGTCTGAATTTACAACCTCAGAGTACAAGTGTTAAAAATTCTGATTTGCTTCCTATAAAATTTTTTTGCAGAAAAACCCATAGATTTAAATTATTTTTATTTGCAAATCCCTTTTAGTTTCCATAGTAAGAATGGTCACCTTCACTTAATTTTAAAAGAAGCCAATGGAGATCAGATGAGGTACTTGATTACCATTATTATATATGCTTTATTTTTTATACAAATAGAATTTTATATTTATGTAATAATGACAACATAAAAATATTATTCATTTTAAAGTTCACTAAGACAAAACTGTTACGATAAAATGTAAGTATATATATTCATACCATCTACATATTTATGTCACATTATCCAAGCCTTTAGTAAATAGTACAAAAAAGATACAGGAAAAATCCACAGAGTAAATAGAAAATTGCTAATAGGCATAAAGGGTGCCTAATCTATGAATAAACTGGGAAATTACAAAGTAAATGCCCTCAAAATAAAAATTGCAAAGAGGTTATATAGACTTACAATATCATGGAATAATAAATTCATAGTGGATGATAGCATATATCAACATTTCATGAACACCTATGACTTTCCTTATAGAAGTCCACTTTGGATTTCTTCTACATAACTATTAAAGAAGTTAGAAAGTATTAGACAAGACTTGTCTATATATTTTTAAAGGGTCAGTCCTAAGTATAGAGTTTAGGAGTACTTGTATTTTTCAACTAATTTCAATACAATTCTACTTAGAAGGAAATTATGAATCCTGAATAAGTTTGAACTTGTTGAATATAAATCGAATCCTTTTTTAATATCCAATTTTTAAAAATCACATCAAATATGGCAGCTCATGAAATTTATGAAATGTATAACATTTCATATGAAATTTAGCTTATAGGCTAATCATTCAAAACTCTCATAACTATTTTTATGGAATCACAGGACTAAAATGGTTTTATAGTTCTTTTCCTACCCTTTACAAAAGACTACCTCCAAAAGTTACATACATATCTATTCCCAGAGAGTTCATATCTCCTTTATTCATAAAACATTTCTATTTCATAATTTTACTATGAAAGCCAGTGCAGCATGTATAGAGTGACATATAATAGAAGGAAAAGGCTCTGGTACAAGACTGACATGGTTTCTGTATTAGTGCAGCTACTTAAGAGCTGTGACACTCTGGCAAATTACCCAGCTTCTCTGTTGTCTCAGTATCTTTATCTGCAAGATGAGATTACGCCACCTTGCTCAGTAAAATAGGATAATACTCAGTAAATGGTGGGTATTACTATTGATAAAAGATGGCTACCAAATACTTCCTATCATGGTTCAAGGTTAATTTCCCTTTCTGCTCTTCCTCAAGATATAGAATTGCTGTTTTATTCCTGTTATGGTTTAAATTCACTGGTTAGAGATACACTACAACTAATTTTTAATCTAGTATAACTATATTGTAACTTGTATCAAAGTAACTAAAACTCAGATACTATTCTTGATACTGCTACCTACACTTGCCTTTTTGTGTAGAATATGCTCTCCAAATCTCCCTCATTCCCTGGAAAAGACAATGACATATTTCTTATCATGCCCAATTTAACAGTATTAATTTTAAATGCTGCATCCTTTATGTACTTATGTATCATGCTTATGAGTATATGTCTAAAATATGGGACTCCTGCTTTACTATAACTGCACTTTAACATGATGACTTAAAACAACTTATACTTTTTTGATTCTTTTAAAAATTTTTAAATTTTCAGGAAAAGCAAAGGACCAAATCATAGATTTAAACCTCAAAATGCCAACTTAAAATAATGAGAAAATTATTACCATATGAAAAGAGATAGATTTGGGATTTCCCTGAGCAGCATACTAGAAAAGTGCTTTATAGAATGTGCACAGATTCCTTAGTGTAATTAGGCATGATTCTGGGTAGTGTGGGATGGGGGTGGGGAACATCTGAAGGCTATCCAGAGAGAGGAATGACTTAAGGCGGCGCATTCAAGTCTTCCATCTTGAGAAGACAGCTCCTGTGCTGCTCCCTCCACCACCAATACAGGCACAGGGAGCAGCACGGTGTGGTTGCCTCTTTCATCTACAGTCTTGCCCCCACCTTCTAACCTTGCCCACTTTACTATTCTACCCCAACTTCTTGCTACTTACATAACTGCCACTTTTTCTTTAGCTTTTTATTTAAATTTTCTTCTTTTCAATACCTTTTTTTATTCAATTGACCTTCCCCTTTTCTGTATATTTGCAGCTACTATAATTTTTGCCTCATTTTCCACTTTTGTGTTATTTTGTTTTTCTTTGCACTCTCTTTTCCCTTCATCTTATCTGACATTTTCTCCTCCTTTTTATTCCCCTTCCCCACATGGCTCTTTCTACCCTCTATCTCTTAAGAAACAATGTGGATACTTTAGGTACATGTGATTTATTTATATTTACAGTACAAGGTCCAGCACAAATAATGTCCCTTTTTATTATGTAAAAATCTTTTATTACAAAATCATAAGCATGTAATTCTGTAACATAACAGTATCACACTCAAGCACACCATATGACATGTTAGGTGAAATGCTCAAATTGCTGTCCATCTTGTGCGACACATTCATACACTCGATCAGCCACACTCAATGGTGTTACTTCTGCCGGACCCTGTATGTACATTAAATAGCTTTCCGTACTGGTAATAACACTGGTATCTTCTAAACTACTGTCTCTGAGCTAGAAAAAAGTCAGTGTCTTCACTATTATACCCTCTATTTTTTCTTTTTAAAAACCCTGCTCCCCCTTTTCTGAATTGCTATAGAATTCTATTACAGATTCAAGTATTCTGACATAGCAGACCCTAGGAGGGCAGACAACTAATGGAAGCGTGAAAAAAAGGGGTAGGATAGGTAAAAAATAGACTTTGGTTTTAATATTATCATAAAGCTTAAATGATAAATGAAAAATATCATATACTGACATGATCCCATCAAAACTGATCTTACAACCTAAACTGGGTTTATAATCATGTCCCTGTTTGGGCTCTTTCCTTCCCTAACGCCACCCCTACCTTTTTTTGTAAAGCGGACTGAAAAGAGGAACCATGGGGTTTTTTTTTTTTAATTTTTTAAAATTTTAAGCAGAGTCACAACAGAGAGAACTTTTTTGGTTGAAGACAACTCATGGCCTGTATTTATATTGCTTTGAATGGCATTTTTTAAAAACCAAAGGGCAACTTTGAAGAGTAACACTTGTTGATGAGGCCTTTTCTTGGCAGGTGGGGTGGAAATCTGTAAGAATAGCAAGTAGGAACTGAATAAACGATAACCATCTAGAAGTGATTCAAATCCCCATATTTATGCCAAAAAGTTCTAATTTTTTCACTATTGAACCTTTTGGAAAATGGAGAAAATGCAGAATTTAATAACTTTGATCTCACCTTCTCTGCTTAACATTCTGAGAGAAGTATTAATAGTGGAAAAGTGAAATGAAATGGAATAAACTTTACTGGGTTCCTAACATATGTGGTGCCTTGTTGTAAAGGAATCAAAATATAAAAGCATACTGCAGTTTAGGGTTGCAGAAAGAGCCTATGAATTGAAATCAGATGATCTTGGGTACAAATTGCCAGTCTGCCACTCGCAGTGATGTAACACTGGACAAATTGTTTAACACATTTGAATTTGTCTCTTTATCTATAAATTAAGAATTCTTTCATCTTCTACATAGTCATTTAAAGGTTAAATGAAATAAAGTATGTAAAACACCGGGAATAGAACAGCACATAGTACGTTCTAAATAAGTATGTTTCTCTGTTACTTTCTGCCTTCTTCAATGTTCTTCATAATCTTGTTTGAGGAAGTCAGGATAATAAATTGTGAAAAGTAATGAAAAATAAACACAATTATTTAAGAAATTAGAAGTATAAGTGAAGGATATACATGAAGAATTATCTAAGGAACCATAAAGAAACAACAACTAGGGGAATTCAAGGAATGACCAATTTCCCTGGCCTGTGATCAGTCACTGAGAACTTAGTTTCAGAAGGGGACTTTATGCTGAGGTCTGAAAGGTAAGGGCAGGTTCATATAGGCACTCGGGGAAGGAGAGGGGAAGCTGGGTCTGAAAAAAAAAGGACACACTCTAAAACAGGTGAAAAACAGCATAATTAGAAGTGTTTGATTAGGAAACAGTGTGTTAACGAAGTATACAGCAGGTACATTCGGCTGAATGAGAAGTTTCAGTTAGGAGATATGAGTTGGTACTGGTAAACTCAACCCGGAAGGAAGAAAATTCAGTTCAGAATTGTCAACAGCAATAGGGAACTCTCAAGTAAGGGAGAAGTAACCTGATCATAGGTGCTTTTCAGAAGATTAATTCATAGCAGTGTGCAGAAGAGTTCAAAGAAGAAATACATCTAAATTTGGCTTAAAGTATTAGAGAAAAAATAAGATAATTTGTCATTATTGTGTATCAAGTAGTAGAGGAGTAAGCAAAGAAAACTACTCATACACTGAAAATCTATTTCAAAAATCTATTTGAAGGAGCTCCTCTTCTCCTTTTATTGTACCTTGCACAGAACATCAAATCTCTCTCAGTCTGGCCAATTAATCACAGACAAACCATAGTTTCTAAGTGTATACACCAGGATCTAACACGCTGAGATTTTCCTTCCCCTAAGGTTAAAAAAATAACTGAGTAGTTACCACTGTGTTTAATGATGTGTGAAACAAGAATATTACACACAGAGCTGAAAATTATATGACTCCTTACTTTAGAGATAAGACAATTGAGAACAGGAGAGATTAAGTGACTAATTCTCATGGTTAAATAGGAAATTAGGTTATGAAAGTAGAACTGGAACCTAACTGACCATTCACATTTGAGCATCTACCATATCCCACTAAAAGCCCTAGCTGCCTAACTGATACATACACATGCCTTCTTTTCCCCTGCCTATCTGTTGTCCCCCTTGCTGGAACATTTTATTTGCTTAATTACAGACCTTTCAAGATTCTGTTCAAGTTTTACCTCTCTGAGAAACGTTCCCTAAAGCCCTCTCAGGCTAGAATAGTTGCTCTCTGTATCTCCTGCATACCTTTATGAGCAAATTCATCAAATCATTATCATTACTAGTTTGTTTCTACAACTAGAATCATTTTTTTTTTTCTTTTTTGGTATCTTCTAAATCTAACACAGGGCCTGACACAAAGATGACATCTATGAATAAATGAATGAAAGCAGCAGTAGGACTACTTGACCATCTAGGTAAGACAGACCCACCCTGATTCAAAGCTTACCTTAGGATTTTGAGCGGCAGACTCTGAGTTGAACTGAATCCTTAAAAAATATGAGGTCCTAACATAAAGATATATACACAACACCAATGTATTGCAAAGATTACTACTAGAATAGACTCTGTGCATAAGAAATGTACAGAAGCAGTACTATTAAAAATAGAGAAGCTGGGAGCAGAGTCAGTTTTGAGATAAAGGTAAATTTTATTTTTCTGTTTTTGTTTTTAATCCTCATCTGAGGACATGCTTATTGATTTTAGAGAGAGGAGAAGGGAGGGAGAGGTAGAGAAACATCAATGTGAGAGAGAAATATCAATCAGCTGCATCTCGTACGCACTCCAACTGGGGACCGAATCTGCAACGTAGGCATGTGCCCTGACTGGGAATTGAATCCACACCTTTTTAGTTTATGGGATGATGCTCCAACCGACTGAGCCACACTGGCCAGGGCTGAATTCTGTTTTAAATGCTGAACTTGTTGATAGCAGGATGTATACATGGCAATGTCCACCAAGAAGCCATACAAGTGGAACTAGAATTAAGGAAATCTGGGCTGGAGGTATAGGTTTGGGAGCGCCGGCATAAAGGCAAGAACTGAAATCTTACAGATTCAGGATCAAAGAAAAGTAGATAAGATGAGGATTGAATATCAAGTACCAATATTTAGGAGGCAAGAGAAAAACAGGAGCTAGTGAGATTAACTTGAAAGGAAGAATAATAAGTAGTGAAGGAATAGTCAGTAGTGTCAAATATGGTCAAGAGAAGGTAAAATGAGAGAGAGAAAGAAGAGATCTTTGGGTAAAATAATAGATGGTTTCTGGTGTCCTTCAAGGCAGCAGGATCAATATACTTTAAGTCCTAATGAGAGAAAAAGTAGAGAGTACATGTAACCGGCACACAGAGCCTATGTATTTGAAAAGTATGGCTGTGAAATGAAGGACTGTAATGTAATAAAGCTGGCGGGGCAGCAGAGCCAAGTACAGAGGGAATTAAGGGAAAGCACTGTCTTTAAGTTCCAAATGCTGTATGGTAAGTTAAGAGTATATTCAAGAGTTGTTTACGCTAGCTTTTAGTGTATGAAATATAAATGTGGAATAACAAATACTATTCAAGCACCTACGTACTTTATGCCAGACACCAAATAAGACCTAATTGTCTTTTTTTTCTCATTATAAAACCATTGGTATAAAGGAAACATTCTGAAATGGATCCCAAATATTTCATCTTAATTTTGTTTTGTGGACACCTGAACAATACATTTTTCTCAGCGATAAAAGCAATTACAACAGAGAAGCAACCACAGTCTCCTTTACTTAGCTCATCAATGCCATATGTCTTGGCTAATTCTCAAAACTCAACAGGGAATCCTTTGGGTCAACCAACACCAACTGCCAAAGGTTCTGCTGGACAACCAACAGCAGTTGCCTCTTCAGAAAAACCAGCAGCACAAACATCTGCCAGACAACCACCTGTCTATACCACCACCAGACAACCAACATCAATGGCCAATACTGTCTCCCAACAAACAGCACAACCTGTGTTCACCCCTGGCAGACAACTACCAACCTTTGCCTACACTTCTACCAGACAATCGCAACCATCTGTCCATACTTCTGTTCAACAACCACTACCTGTCCGGACCTCTCCGGGAAAGGCAGTACGACCAACTATTCAAAATGTACCTACACAACCAACATCAGCTGACAAAAGGCCACCTGGGATTACACCAGGATTCATCACAGAAGATACCAGTAGCACACAAATCCCACATAAAACCGATTCTAATTATATAGCTGCCATAATAGTTGGAGTAATTCTGGTTTCTATGTTGGCAGTTATAATCATCATTTTATTACGCAAGTGCGTGAGAAAACCAGTTGTAAATGATCAAAACTGGGCAGGTAGGTCTCCATTTGCTGATGGTGAAACCCCTGATATGTGTTTGGATAACTTCAGAGAAAATGAAGCATCCACAAAACGTACATCAATTATTTCACTTATGGCCTGGAAATCAAACAAAAGCACACTCTTAGCAGATGACTTAGAAATTAAGTTGTTTGAATCAACTGAAAACATTGACGATTCCAACAATTCCAAAACAGAGAAAATAAAAGATCAAGTAAATGGTACATCAGAGGACAGTGCTGGTGGATCCACAATTGGCACTGCTGTTTCTTCTTCAGATGAGGCAGACCTGCCTCCACCACCTCCTCAGCTTCTCAATTTGGAAGGACAGGAGAGTAACCAATCTGACAAACCCACAGTAACAATTTTATCTCCTTCTCCAAGTGATTCCACCAGCCTCCCCCCAACTCTGGACCATCCCAGTCAACTTTGTGAAGATCATAATTCTGAGCTCAAACAGTCATTTCCACCTCCCCCCGACTCACTTGCCTTGCCCTTGCCCCCAGGAGATTTTCTAAAAAACTTGGAAGATTCCACCAATGAGATCCAATGTCAGGAGATCTCTATTCTTCCTAATGTGGATCAAGATCTCAGTGAATCACTGCCACCCCCACCTGAAGAATTGTTATAAATATTACAGCTTGCTTTCTAGAGGGCTCTCTATCTTTTGTTTTTCTTCATATGATGAAATACATTAAATGGCAACTAGTAGCTAATTTTGATTTTTATTCAGGAGCTGCCTGAAATATGCTCAAAGCCCACGTGCATAGGTGAAACTTATTTTTTAAAAAAACATGCAACAGTGATCTATTTACTGGCTATAGCATCTAGTTTTAATGTAGAGTATATTTTACATATGCAGATGGTAGGTATGTGTGTCAATAACTTAACCATTTTGGAAAGAACCTACGTATACTAGGTATCACCCCATATATTCCACCCCGCCCCCACCGCCGAAAGCTATGTATCAAGTTACCATGAATAAATAAAATTTTATTTTTCCATTTCAAAGTCTGAGGTGGAGGAAATGAAAAATTAAATACATTCTCTAAGTTTTAAACAAAACTCCAAGTTTTAAATTAATACCTCTAATAAATATTCTAAATTCATAGGGATAAGTGATTAAAATGCATGTTTATAAATAGAGAAATTTCCTTTTAGCATTCATTGGAAGTAGTAAAGCAAACGCATTACAGTATCAAAGTTGGAGGTTGAGTTGGAGACATTTACTCTGAAAAAAACATGAGCAAGCACCATAAAATGGAGATATTTTCCTGTCTTATTGGGGGAGTAAAATTTTTGAAACTAGCCTCTTTATACACCTTTAGGATCCAAACAAAATGAAATCTTACAAAGGAAAAAAAAAATCTCATGGCTTCATTTCAAATTTGAAAGATTTTTCCAAGAAAAACAGATTGTATTGAAATACAGACAGCTCTCAACTTTCATTAAACTCATACTTTACATTTAAACACTATATGTTTAAATTCTTTAACTACCTTTCTTACGCAGAATTTCATCTTTTTAAAAAATTGATTTGAGAGAAAGAGAGAGAGAGAAGCACCAGTTTGTTGTTCCACTTACTTAATGTATTCACTGGTTGCTTCTTTTATGTGCCCTGACCAGGATTAAGTCCACAACTTTGGCATATCAGGGATGACGTTCTAACCAAATGAACTACTTCACCAGGGCCCAGAATTTCATCTTTTACCCATTACCTGCCAAGTGATAAATCTGAGTTATCAGAGTAGGGATGCACCGCTCAACGTCAACGTCAAGGTGTCCAGTGTTCACTGGCCTGTGCTTATGGAGATGTCAGCATGGGCCTGCAGAAGCTCTCCTTTGCCACACAAGCATATATTCTTTCTCCTTACCCCTACCCTAACTCCTGCAGGAAAGGGTCACTTAGAATGAAGTGTGGTGGCCTTAATTGTAGCTTAAAGCTGGAACCTCTGATAATTCTGGGATTTTTCTGAAGAAAATAGTAGTATGGTGTTCAAAAAACTAAGTTCCATCTTTAATAAAAACTAGCAGGCTTTTGGTCATTGAATTTTTATATACAATGTTTCTCTTTATATCTTTTAAACCATCCCTTACTGACCATGAAGTGTTTATCTGCAGAAATACTTCCTTGAGTAGCTTATTTTTCCCGAATAAGCATGTTTATTGGCATAGTATGTTGGTTCTCCTTTGTCTTCCATATTAAAAAGTTTCTTTCATGTGTTTTTCAAACTTTGCACTCTTAAGGTAATTTACCTAACAGCAATCAGGAATTTAAGAATTTCCTATTATTCTTTTTAATTTTAATTATTCCTGTTACAGAAAGACATGTTTTTATATTTGGTCAAGACTTAAACTTGCCTTAAATCATCATCATCTTTCTCATTTTACATTTAAAATTGTTACCTAACAGGTTCTTTCTACACTTTTGCTCTTCTTTTTCATCAACTTCTTTCCTGACCTCTTGAAGGATGGGTATTGGAAAATACAAGGAAATATCAAGTCTCATAAATAAATTAAGAGCTGACAATCTGGTCATAGTCTTGGCTGATTTCTTCAAAAACTACAGGCAGCTATTCTCCTTCTGTTCTTTGTACAATAAAACAGACTACTTTTAGCAGCTGGGTTTGTGTGTGTGTATTTTTTGTTTGTTTGTTTCTTAAGAAATTCTCTGCCAGGGGGGGAAATCATTCCTTTTTACTGCATGCAATTTTTACCAACTGAAGTCAGTGGGAGTGGAGCAGCCAAACAGAGACCATTCTTGCTTAATCAGCAGCAGCAGGAAAAAAATAAAAGCTAATAAAAGAAATATAGGGGAGAAGAAAATTTTGGAACAAAGAAAAATGTACAGAAAAGATTATAGTAAAGAACCAGGATCCAGAAGAGAAAATTTATTTCATGAATATAGCAAAAGGACAAGGCACAGGGTAATTAAAAGCAGACTGAATTACGTACCACATAACAGTGGTGATCTTACCAGATCAACATTAACCAGATTCAGAAACAGCCCTGACAACCATCTAGTTCAATCCCTTTTATTTGTTAACTGCTGGAAAAACAGGCCCAGAGAGAGTAAATGACTTGTTTTAAAAAGCCAAGTTTGGCCTTGGCTAGGTGGCTCAGTTGTTTGGAGCACCGTCCCATATACCAAAAGGCTGAGGGTTCAATCCCCAGTTGGAGCACACACAGGAGGCAATGGATTAATGTCTCTCTCTCTCTCTCTCTCTCTCTCTCTCTCTCTCTCTCAAATCAGCAAGCATGTCCTGGGATGAAGATTTAAAAAAAAAAAAGCTGCATTTGTTCCTTGACTCCTCGTTCAGCACTCTTTTCACTAATGTAAGGCCAAAGAGCACCCACTTCATTTGTTGCAACAAACATGTATCACATACATATCCCATTTGGTGTAGGTAATGGGGATACAATGAATTAGATGAAGGTGACCTGTAATTGTTGCTATCACTTAGTTCTGACGAAAAAGTCAAGTAACAAAATATTTGGGTACCTATAACTAAAACACTGTGATATGGGTACATGATTATACAAGCAGATCAATGGAACAGACAGAAAATCTCAAAATAGACTCCACTCTCAAATCAGTTGGGAAAAGTACTGGCACAACTGGATATATATTTCAAAAACCAAACAAACAAACCTGGATCTATACGTCACACTACATTGGAATAAACACCAAATGACCAGAGACCTAAATATTAAAAACGAAATTATATAAGTAATAGGTGAAAGTATGAGTGAAATCCTTTTTAATCTGGAAGTGAGAAAAACCTTCCTGGCTGAGACTCAAAATCCAGAAGCAATAAAAGAAAAATCTAATTATACAAAACTTTTAAATAGAAAAAACAAACATGCTGAAAGTCACCATAATAAAGTCAATACACAAATGAACAACAACAAAAATATCACAGCTTTAAGTCAAAGGGCTACTATCTCTAAAATCAAAAAAGCCTCCTAAATACAGAAGGGGGTGGGAAAGACCTACAACACAATAGAAAAAATTTAAATGTCCTTAAAAATCTGTATAAAGATATACAACCTTCCTCATAACAAGAGAGATGCACTTAAAATTACACTGAGATACTACTGCATTTATTGATATAAATCCAAAGTTCAACAACAAAGTCCAGAGGGAGGCTCTACAAAACCAGACTACGAAATGGTATTCTCATAGAGAGGAATTAGGTAATACCCAGAAAAATTCCAAATTTATTTACCCTTTTACAGAGGAATCCTACTTCTAGAAATCTTCTCAAAGATCCATTGGGCAAAAATGAAATAACTCAGGTGCAAGAGTATTCACTGTGGCATTATTTATAATAGCAAAAGTCTAGAAACAACTCAGATGTCCATCATAGGGGCCTTGTTGAATATACTATGGGGCACTCTCAAAGGCAGTACTATGCATCATTAAATGAATGAGAAAGATCCCTATGTACTGATATGGCGTGATCTTCCAGATACATTATTAAAAACAATTAAAACAAGATGTGTAACAGTACACATCTTGTAGGCAACTTTTTATATAAGGGGATAAGCACATATAACACATACATATTTTTATATGTTTGTAAAAAGAAATACCGGTAAGAAACAACCAAAAATAGTCACTAACAGGAGTATGAAGAGGGAGGAGGGAATACAGAAGTAAGATTGCTCTGAGTATATCCTGTAGTACAGTTTTGACATAAGCAGTCCCTAAAAACTGATGACTAACTGACACAAATGAACCTAACTTTATGTAAAGTTGATGATATAAAAATATAGAGAAAACAATTATTTTATGCTGCATTCGAATACAGGATTGACTATATATCCTTGGTGAAATATATTCTAAGAACAGAGCTGCACAGAAATTTTAAATGTTATTCAGTAGTTTGTAATTTAACTATCTGTAGCAATACTGGCATTATTTTGAAACTTTTTTTAGGATAATACAAATAACTAATTATGTTAATGCTGTTAGGAACCATTTATAGGAAATATGGGGAATAGAGAAACAAATCAAATCTTCACAAGAAAGTGAACAGATAAATCCAGATGAGGAACATTTTAGAGAACAAATAACTGAGTTTTGGCAATGTGGAGAGAAAAGGGATGAGGAGGTAGGAGAAGGAACTGATCTGCTTGGATTTTGACCTGATAATTTCTATCTTGTCAGTTCTTCCATGCTTTTAAAATGCTTTATTCAGTACTCTTAGCTGTTTTCAGCAGGAAATTCAGTCTGAAGAACCAACTACATAACCAAAACTAAAGAATATAATACTTTTAGTCTCAAATAAGCACAACAAATGTTATCAACTTAAGAAATAAAGATAACCTGATTGGGTTTCCAAACTGTTGATTAACATGGGACAGTTGTTCCCTGGTAGGTAACTTGTTTTACCTTTTGCAGTGTCGGTGTAATATATCCTAGGACAGTGTGTTTCACAACAGAATATGTAAATGAATTTAGAACTTAGTCTAGTACATAAGAGTTACCTAAATAGCTGTAATTCCTGACTCGATAGAAGACTTAATCTAAAATGCAATGTGTCTGAATAATATCTAAAATAAGTTGTAACAAACATTTAAGCCAATAAAAATTATTTTTGGAGTAACAGTAATATACTGTTACTTTATTTCGTGAGAATTTCTAAAAGCATAAGATAAGGGCAGTTTGTTACAATTCAAATATATTAAAATATTATTCTTTTTATTTTGAGAATTTTATAACAATCTTTGAATAAGAAGAAGCAATTTGGTATGTCCTCAAGCTTAGAAATGAGAAACAGTGTCACAACTATTATATTGGAATTTTTAAATTATATGTAGCAGAAACTAATCTCAATAAATCTAAATCCAAATTCATTTGAATCCATTAGTTAATGAAATAACATATTATTTCTTTCAAACAAAAGTACTGGCAAGTATAATGGAACTGAATAACTACTTCCACATGGGTTTCCCACGATTAAAAGAAGAGATTAAAAAAAAAGATTTAAGTGTTTGGTAGATTGACCCTCAGTCACATCCCTTGAAGAGTAACAGTGTGTAAGAGCTGAAACAGAAGAAATTTAAATGTTAAAACATTACTTATTTCCACAACAACATTGCTGAATGGAGTATTTTTAACACATTACTTTTAAGCCCTAAGAATGATGACTGGTTTTTGAAATCCATAGAAAGAATCTTAGGAACCCTCAAAGTGAAATGGGAATAAAGTACCTAAATCAATACTAAATTTCTAACACTGCAGACTTTTAAAATATAGATACTTTTCAAGGAACATTAATTTTATACAAAAGGTGACTCCTAGATTATAGTTCGCTTTCTAAGAAAATAAACTTCAAATTTTAATTCTAAAATTTAAATTCTAATTGGAGTAAAATAATGGCAAATGTAATTTAAAGAAAAACCAAGGATTTAATAACTAGGTATAAAAAGAATTTCCTTAAATGTAATATGCTAATGACTGATTTTAAATGGTAATAATTCATAATGAACATGACATAACTTGTTTTCTTTTCTAAGTGAAACTGACTATTCTGGAAATTACACAAGTTTTAACAGATTATACAAGCAGTCCACTAAGGAGTGGAGTAGAAGCTATCATTAATCTGGTCTCATTTTATTAAACGCATGACCAAAGTGTTGCCTTTTACATTATTTCACATAATTTAAAAAGTATAAATTGCTTTCTCAGAAGATAAAATGTAAAACAGCCTGAAGAAATCACCTGAAATTGATGCTGTTGTTTTTAAAACATAAAATCAAATAGATGGTCATTCATACAGTATCGAAGAGGTCTCTGGAGAAAACAATACTCATACCCACTCACCCAACAGAGTTTCATAAAGAAAAAGAAGCCTTAACCCAAATGTCATAAAATAAAACACATCTATTTTATCACATGAACTGATAACTAAAAGCATAAGGTACTTATTTAAAAATGTAGCGTTGCTTATGTTAGCCTGGGTCACATGATCCTTTATATCACAAAGAAAAAATAATCATATTTAAGTACTTCTTACTTTCCATAAAGGAAGAATAATATTTAAGTGGCTGATAAATTTTAAAAGCTGATTATACATAATAACCATCACGTTGGGGGAGTATATAAAAATCAAACAGATTGTGTTAATGCAGTTTTAAAAAGTGATGTGATAACTGTACCATTTTTTAGAAAAAAATAGAGGTAGGAGTTCAAAATAGTTACACTAATATCTTAGAAAACCATCCACGGGGAAGGTCAAATTCATTTTAAACATTTTTCAACATGTAAAAGAGATGAAGATTAGAGGCATTAAAAAACCCCCACAAATTCTTCACGAGGCAAATGTTAAAATGTGGAACCAAAGCTCAGACAAATACACAGAAATGAGTAAGGTCCGGGTCTAATGTGTGAGGCATTCCATCCTATAGCAAATCCAAGAAAAGTAGGTATGCTTAAAGCTATAAATTTAGAAAAACATTTTGGTCCATTTTGTTGCGTGTGCACCTCTTGCAATAAATTTGAGTCAGCACCAATGACAGCTCTGCAGTCCTCCGATGTGGTGCTGATCAGGTGGTTGCAGAGCTTCAGCTCACAGCAACACAATGCAGCTGAGCAGGCAAGCACAGCCCACAGCCAGGAGCGGTTCCTACTCTCCAGAACAAGGCGACCTTTAAGCTTAAGTTTCCCGGAGAAAATGAGATGCTGATGCTGAAGACGACACTATGGTAAGATGTTATTTAAATCAGTAAAAGATCGACCTCGGAATTTTTTTTCCTTTTTCTTTTCCTTCTTTTTCTTTTTCTTTTTTCTTTTTTCTTTTTTTTTTTAAGAAAAAGAACGTTAGGACTGAATATATTTTCAATAGCAAGTGCATGCACCAGAAATTTGCTGCAGTGTCAGTGGAGAAATTTCTCTTCAATATCCATTCATTTTGTAAATACACATACTGTTTTTTTAGAATCAGCACTGAAATATGGAGAAGAAAAATCACTTTATAAAATGTGAGGTTTGAAGGTATGGTGTTGGTTTGGATTTTGCAAGTGCCTTAAAATGTTTTGCAAGGATATATTTAGCCTAAAAACACAAAGATGAATTTCAAAGTATTGCTTTAATATCTAAATAAAATCTCATCCTACACACACACACACACACACACACACACAATTACTGCAGAGATTTAAAAAAAAAAAAGAGACACGACAGCCATTTTTTCCCATCTGAGTAAAACGAATATTATAAAAAACAGTAACAGCTTAAGATTCCAACTCTTTCTTTGCAGAGAATGCCATTTTATAATATTAAGGCTCTGGGAAGATAAATAAGAAAAGACGGTGTAAAAGGAGAGAGAAAATAAAGGAGAAAATGCAGGCGAGAGTAGGGGAGAGAGTCTCTACCACATAGCCCCAATTGAGGGATTAAGCATTTGGACTATAAATGAAGGGGAGCTTTGTTAGTTTAATCACTGGAACAATTATAAAAGGACTCAACAACAACGAGGTTTTTTGAAAATTTTGCCTAATGCTAACTGACCCATGCAGATGCCTAATTGTATTTGCATATTAAAAGAAGGGTATATCTGTTTGTTTCCAGGCTTTGATGGAATATCAGATACTGAAAATGTCTCCCAGCCTGTTCATCCTTCTGTTTCTCACACCTGGTATTTTATGCATTTGTCCTCTCCAATGTATATGCACAGAAAGGCACAGGCATGTGGACTGTTCAGGCAGAAACTTGACTACATTACCATCCGGACTGCAAGAGAATATTATCCATTTAAATCTGTCTTATAACCACTTTACTGATCTGCATAACCAGTTAACCCAATACACTAATCTGAGGACCTTGGACATTTCAAACAACAGGCTTGAAAGCCTCCCTGCTCAATTACCTCGGTCCCTCTGGAATATGTCTGCTGCTAACAACAACATTAAACTGCTTGACAAATCTGATACTGCTTATCAGTGGAACCTTAAATATCTGGATGTTTCTAAGAATATGCTGGAAAAGGTTGTCCTCATTAAAAATACACTAAGAAGTCTTGAGGTCCTCAACCTAAGCAGTAACAAACTTTGGACAGTTCCAACCAACATGCCCTCCAAACTACATATTGTGGACCTGTCTAATAATTCCTTGACACAAATCCTTCCAGGAACATTAATAAACCTGACAAATCTCACACATCTTTACCTGCACAACAACAAATTCACAATCATTCCAGATGAAGCTTTTGACCAACTCCTTCAGTTGCAAGAGATAACCCTTTACAATAACAGGTGGTCATGTGACCACAAACAAAACATTACTTACTTATTGAAATGGATGATGCAAACAAAAGCCCACGTCATAGGGACTCCCTGTTCTAGCCAAATATCATCTTTGAAGGAACATAACATATACCCCACACCTTCTGGATTTACCTCAAGCTTGTTCACTGTAAGTGGGGTGCAGACAGTGGACACCAGTAACTCTCTGAGTATGGTGACTCAGCCCAAAGTGACCAAAACGCCCAAACAATATCGAACAAAGGAAACAGCATTTGGCGCCACTCTAAGCAAAGATACCACCTTTACTAGCACTGACAAGGCTTTTGTGCCCTATCCAGAAGATACATCCACAGAAACGATCGATTCACATGAAGCAGCAGCTGCAACTCTAACTATTCATCTCCAAGATGGAATGGTTACAAACACAAGCCTCACTAGCTCAAAAAAATCATCCCCGACACCCATGACCCTAAGTATCACTAGTGGCATGCCAAATAATTTCTCTGAAATGCCTCAACAAAGCACAACCCTTAACTTACGGAGGGAAGAGACCACCACAAATATAAAGACTCGTTTACCTTCTATGGCAAATGCTTGGAAAGTAAATGCTTTGTTGCTCTTAATGCTCAATGCTGTGGTCCTGCTGGCCATCTGAGGGTCTGCATTTTCTGAAACTAATGAAAGAACTCCTCCCTGATGTATAGTTGGGAAAATATGCCCCCATCTAACTAGTGATTCAAGCTATATTAAGTATTCAAGAAAGCCAGTGTTACCTTTCTGACTCTGATGTAAATGAAGTAATTTGTCTTAAATAAAAGAAGTGCACAATGTCTTGGTACTTGCTGCTATTTTACTGTCTTAAGTAAAACTAATGAATTTTTTTAATGAAATGTTTTCTTTTTAAGGCTTCAATTTATTGCACAAGATATAAAGCATCTTAACTTTAATATGTATTTTATGTATGTTTACACTGTCAAAACATCTGGGAAAAAATAAATGGTCTATGCTCATAACCGTGTCATTTGGCTTTCCAGTCATATCAACTTAATCTACTTAGTAAGACTTAAAAATGACCTAATCATTTTTGTCCTAGGTACTTCGCTAAAGTCTTTATGGTAAATGAAATGTTGGAGGCATCCAAGGAGATTTTGCCACTAGAGTAAAACTGTGGCTGCCACCCCATGAACGGTTATGCCATGTCATTATTTTACACACAAGCCATAATTGTTTTAAATCTCAATGATGTCCTGCTTCTGAGGAACTCTTGGCTACTTTACAGATTATATAATGGACAAAAGCTCTTCAAAAAGCTAGAAGACACTAGGCTTTGCATTTTAATAAGGAAAGTTAAATGGCTTTGTGTTTTGCATTTAAGAAAGGTATTAAAAATAATTTAAAAAATTAGGTTTAAAGCCATTAAAGGAACAGTTTTAGTGCATCTTTAACAAACCATTTGTTAATGGAAATTTAAATACTTAAAAAATTGTCTTTTATGTGCAGGAGAGAAAAATTCATTTTTTGTACATCAGAAATTAGAATCTGACTTACCGAAACTAAAAGTAAGATTTAGTTTCAGAATAAAATCATGGGGACCTAACAAACATTGGCAGTACTAAGGAAGGTAAGGAGAGGAAAAGAGAAGCAGGAAGGGAAAAGGAATGGGATTCATTTTGTGCTACGACCAGACGATGAACCCAGAAGAGCAGACAGCAGGACTAGGGCTGGGCATGAGACAAACCTTAACACTCTAAATCAAATTGCACCAGGTCCCCAGTTAGAAGAAAGTGAAGAATTTTCTACAAATATAAAAGTAGCCACCTTATGAATTAAATACAAACATAATAGCCAAGAGTCCGAAAAAGCAGCCCTGAAACAAGGCTAGATTAAAATGCAGGACAGCAAAACTGGATGTGTAAGCCGCAAATGAGGTGCTTAACTGGTGAGACATAAGAATCTATTTCCAGCACTCTTAGAGTTGGGAAAAAGAGTACAGAAAGAAAATTTTATGTTCTTTCCTACGAAATTTTAAAATTAAAATAGACTTCTTTCCAGATTTGGGAACATTTCTATGGGGCAGGGGTAGAGGGGGAGAACAACCTCCAAATGTGCTTTTTTTTTTTTTTTTTTTTTTTTTGCTTTTTAAATGAAACACCAGGCTTATGGAAAAAAAAATATTGTTAAGCTTCAATAAAGCAATTCCTCTCCTATGCTGACTAGTACAGTGGCTCTTGAACATTTTTCTGCCCCAGTAAATCTAATTGGCTCACTATGTTGGGGAATGTCACCATGAAGAAAAGGGGTTAGTTGAAATAATCCCCTAAATGGCTTTAAAATGCATTACTTTTCCAAATGAACAAGCTGTTCCCATTTCCTCCCAATCACTGAGCTAGTATCTTCACCACTGATTATAGGGGCTAACTGCTTAGATATTTTCTACCCTACCTCACACTAGCATTTTGTTTTAAAAAACACATATACTGAGTTTCACAGGATGTTTCTCAGAGGTAATGTCTTTCACTCTGAAGGTGACAAAAATTCAATGTTGTCTCAGAAATATAATGGGGAAAAGTGACAAAGTAAAATTATGGATTACAGCATTATGAGCAGCTATGGATTATACCAATCTAACTGACATTTCTGCAAAATGCAGATGAAAAACTCAGTAAATTTACAAGTACAACACATGCCAAGTATACAGACTCTTAGTCCTTAGAAGGAATTATCTAGCCTTAAAGCAATCAAACAATATTTCCTCCTAAGGAAATTGTGTTATTAGCATTATTAACGGAGGTGGGCTCATTATATGCCACTAAGACAAGAACTACTATATTACTGGACTCCATAAATATTTCAAAATGCATTAGTCTTCAGCATCTGTCTCTCAAGCTTATATGATATATATCCATCCATCCAACCCTAACTAAGGCTTCTATTTTACAAGTAACTTGTTTCTCACCAGTGAAGTGTATTCAAATACGAACACAGACACAAAAGCAAATGCAGTAAGAGACAAAGTAGCAGTGAAGAGTGTACGCTGGTGTCAAAGGTTCTAGGTCTAAATCCTGCCTCTGCCACTCCTCAGCTGTGTAACTCTGGATAAGTTACCACTGCTCTACATCATAGACTCCTTGTCTATAAAATGGACTAGCAGGACTGACTTATTCACAGTGGTTTTATTCTGAGGATTAAATGGCATAATTCACATAACGTTGCTGCTGCTGTTGTTAGGATTGTTATTATTACTTGTGTATGTGCAAGCCCAGTGAACACTCAAGCTCTATGTACACCTGAGAAAATGAAAGGGTGTATTTGCTTCAGTCCTGTTCCTCCACCCTCTAGAATTCAGGTTTGGATATTAATGCACTAGGGACCTGCCATGACCTGGGCAGAGCGGTGGTCTCAACACTGCCCCCCGCCCCACCGCCCCCGGGGTTCTGGCTGTCATCAGCTGCTGGCTTGCTCCGCTCTGCAGACGCAAGCCTGTCAAGCATGGCTTTGCCAAGCACTCAACCTGCTTTCGACGTCAGCCATCGCCATCCTCCACAGGGACCCAGATGAAAGCCAGAGAAATGTTCACATATCACAACAGAATGGGATGTCTTCTGTAGCTAACTTAAAGGGTCACAAATATGCGCTGTTCAATAATCTTCCATAACAATGCTCTGAAGCAATAGCAAATTCCTTTAACTATTAACAAAAGTGGCATACAGAAGTCAACCTGAAATCTTTTGTAAGATTATTCCTTTTTAAGTAATTGTTTTAAACATTTTTTAAAATCCTCACCCTAGGATATGATTTGAGAGAGAGAGAAACACTGATGTGAGAAACAAACAAGGCCTCCCATACATGCCGGACAGGGGATAGAACCCACAACCTTTTGGTGTATCAGACAATGCTCAAACCAACTGAGCCAGCTGGCCAGGGCTCTTTTGGAAGTACATTAAAAAACTAGATAAGGAATGATAGTATGTATTTACAAAAATCTTCCTTAAAAAGTAAAAGGTTGTATTACTATTAAAATTAGAATCAAGCACCAATACCCATTATCAACTTTTTTAAACATTATTTGGAAAATTTCAGGACAAAAAACAGAAACAACAGATAAAATTACAGGGAAGTAAAAAAAATGATTATTACTATCAGGTGATATAACTGTCTATCTAAAGAATTCCTCAAGAATACCTTCAGAAGAGTAACTAAATAAATACCAAAATAAATATGGAATCATTAAAGATTTTTCTCATATGCTGGCAACAAATATTTAGAAAAGTACAGGAAAAGATACCATTCATAACAATAACAATCCACCAAAACTAACAATGCCAAGAAATAACATTCATATGAAATGAATAGGACCAAATGAAGAAAAGGTAAAAACATTAATGAGAGGTATAAAGTTGATAGAGATGATAAACAAGGGTCTCTCCATTTATATATTCTTTCACTCAATAATTATTTAGCCAGCATCTAGAACACACCAGGTACCAAGGCCAAGTACCGGAGGTGCACATTTATTGATACTGTAAAGATGCAATTATGTCCAGTGTAATTGATGGATTAAGCCAATTCTGACAAACATTCTAATGAGATTCTTTTTGGAACATAGCATTAAACATGTAAGTTCATCTGGAAAAAAAAACAGGCAAGAGTAGAAAAAGTAAGAAATAGTTAAGGCATTTCTTACCCTTTCTTGAGAGGGAAACATAGCATCTGTAAATATTAAGACAGAATGGTAGTGGCATAAAAATAGAAAGGAAGAGAACCCAATACAAAAAATGGTAGCACAACTGGAGCACAGTACACATAAGAATTCTCTGTGACTCCATTTCCTCATACGGTTGTTGTGAGGAAAAATGAGATAATACATGCAAAGTGCTTAGTGCTACACAATAGTGTTTACCACGTAGTAAGCTCTCAAAAGCTGTTGACTTTAGAAGGAAAAAAGATCACAAATCAAAGAGGAAGGGAAAATTCAATAAACAATTGTGGGAAAATTGGATACTTACTTCAGGTGCTATGCCTACATAATGAATTAAAAAAGATAACATTAAAAAGGAAGTCTTAAAACCAATAGAAGGATTTAAAAAATATTTATAAATATCTGGGTGGCTATTTTTACTAGAAAAAAATCACAAATAAATCATCAATAGATTTTTCTATATAAAACCCTCAAATTTCCTTATGCTGAAACAATGAGCCCAATAAGAATATTCAGAGAAAATAAAGGAGATTCTTAATTAAAGCTCATAAAAATGATGAGAAAGTGGGCAAAGGACACAAACATAATATTTTAAAGACAGAAAGCATGTGCTTGATAAATAAATGGGAATACAGCCAACCACATAGTATTGTTTACTGTAGGATCAGGCCTTGCTTCCCTTTATAATACCATCTTAAAATTCTCCTGCTCCCTTACTGTTAAGTTCAAACTGAAAGTTTTTTGTCCCTCTAATCTCGCATGCTCTCTCTTGCCCCCAGGCTTTCATAGATGTTGCATGTCCACTTTGGTTCACTCACCTCTCTCTTCTTCCCCTGGAAAACCCTTATTCATCTTGTTGATTTCAGTTTAGATACCATATTCTCCTAGGAGTTTTGGTTTTTGACCATCTTGATCTGATTTCATAAATAAAATAATGAATTAGTACTGATCAAAGA